GTAAGTCGCTTTGGATAAAAGCATCTGCTAAATGACTAAATGTAAGTGTATATAAATACAAACACATGCATGTACAGTATATATTTAAGAAAAACATGTTATGTTTATATATATATATATATATATATATATATAAAACGATTAATCGCCGACTATAGGATGGTGCAGAATTCACAAAGGTTTGGAGCAAGACTTCCAAGTCTCTCATCGCTTATGAAAGTGGACGGATATACTTTGATAATTACAGGTGTTGTTACAGCAGGTAAACTATATAATCTGATGTTATTCGTTTTAGACACTGGTAAACATTTTTAGAAATTGGTAACACTTTACAATAAGGTTTCATTTGTTAACATGAACTGACTATGAGCAATACTTCTACAGCATTTATTAATACATTTTAAGGTCAAAATTGTTATCTGTTAACACTAGTTAATGCACTGTGAACTCGCATGAACATTTTTATTAACTAACAGATATATTTAAAAAAATATATTGTTCATTGTTAGTTCATGTTAGTTAATGCATTAACTAAAGTTAACAAATGAGACCTTACCGTAAAGTGTTACCAGAAATTGTGTGTGATGCTACAATATGACATCTATTAATATGGGTCACATTTATTAAAAATCACAGCCTTTTGCCTGAGCCAGAACAGCTGTATGAGCTCCCCAAAGCCCCCAAAACGGAGAAGATTGAAGATGCATTATTATGCCAGTGTCCTCTAGTGAGTTTGATCAGCTGCTGCACATCATTCGTATTTGCCTATGCAAAATAAATGCCCCTTTTAACTTTGTGTAACTGATATTTTTGCAGGACAAAGTTCTGCCAAACGCTTCAGACCAGAAATCATGTCTGCTGGTCCTGACAGCTCATAACTGGTTATATCGGCTCTCAGCTGACACAGGAAAAACACTAGAGCGGGTCTACCTCTCCTCTCATTTCAAATTCAGGTTATCTATCTATCTATCTATCTATCTATCTATCTATCTATCTATCTATCTATCTATCTATCGTCTGTCTGTCATCTGTGTATCTATCTATTTATCTGTCTGTCTGTCTGTCTGTCTATCTATCTATCTATCTATCTGTCTGTCTGTCTGTCTGTCTGTCTGTCTGTCTGTCTATCTGCCTGTCTGTCTGTCTGTCTGTCTGTGTCTCTATCTATCTATCTATCTATCTATCTATCTATCTGTCTGTCTGTCTGTCTGTCAGTCTAGCTATCTGTCTGTCTGTCTATCTGTTTGTCTATCTATATGTCTGTCTTTCTGTCTGTCTGTCTGTCTATCTATCTGTCTGTCTATATGTCTATATGTCTGTCTGTTTGTCTATCTGTCTGTCTGTATATCTATCTATCTATCTATCTGTCTGTCTGTCTGTCTGTCTGTCTGTATATCTATCTATCTGTCTGTCTGTCTGTCTGTCTGTCTGTATATCTATCTATCTGTCTGTCTGTCTGTCTGTCTGTCTGTATATCTATCTATCTGTCTGTCTGTCTGTCTGTCTGTCTGTATATCTATCTATCTATCTATCTATCTGTCTGTCTGTCTGTCTGTCTAGTTTTAACTGTACTAACTAAAGTAAAGAATGAAGTAGTGGTAATAACTTAACAAGCTGCGTTTTGTGTCATGTTATAGTATAATTTTCGACAAAAGCAGTAATCTCATCAACATATCTGAAATGTCTTTTGACAAATTGTATGCTGCAATGTGTTTTTGCTGTACTAATGAGTTTGTTAACAGATCTTTAGGTTGGGACTCCTCACAGGAGACTTTACTGGGGCTCATATCTGCATTGTACTTGCCTCTCTCTCTCAGGCTGGTGTTAATAATAACATCCTCATGCATCATAAAAAAGTTTTTTTTTTTGTTGAAAGGTCATACATTTTTATAATTGATTTATCATATTTTAAAAATGTATTTAAATTTAGCTTCACTTATATCACAATGTTAATTTTGTTCAGAACAAGGTTTAGGTCTATTTTTTATTATTTGAAACGTTGGAGCATTTTCAAATGAATGAATCAGTATATGTGGGTTGTGTTATGTTCAGGTCTTTGGGAAGACTGCTGTGGACGTGTTGCTGTCACAGGGAGTGTTAGCTGTATCACACAGCTCGAAACACGTCAAACTTTACAGTTTTGAGTACATTGTTAATAAGGTAATGGAAACATTATTGTTTGTTATGATTGTTTGGTTTATTGACCCTGTTTCTTCTGTCATTATTCCATATGTGTTCTTTTTCACTTCAGTTTAGAATTGAGGAGTTGGCTCTGGGACAGCAGTGTGAGATGAAAGGAATTGTGGGAGAAGCTCCTTATGGCATTCCGGTCAACATTCACATTCATGGTGGGTGTCTGGTATCTTATAAATATATCTAAATAAATACCTTCTGTGTTTTATACTTCTCACTTGCACCCTACTGTACTGTATCCACATTGCACTATATTAATGTAGATTTAGATTGCACCTTGTAATGTATTCCATAGCTAACTTCATTGAGCTGGTCTTATACAGTATACATTGGCTATTTGCACTTCTGGTTAGATGCTAAATGCATTTCTTTGGCCCTGTACTTGTCTCTGCACAATGACGATAAAGTTGAATCTAATCCAATCTAATCTAGTAAGCGTAGACCAAATAACTTCCCAAAAACTATGCATCTTTGAACACTGGCAAAACATATGCGCATGATATACTTCGTAGTGTTTATACTTTTTAAAGGGAATCAATTGGATGGCTTTACTTATAATTGACTCTGTATGAAAAAATGAAAACAATTACACGACACGTATTACCTTTAAGTATCAGAAGACTTTGGAGAGTGCTTCTGAATGTATGTTTAGGCACTGCATAGATGGTGTGACATTTACAGAAAAAAAAATCATGTTAATGTTTTCATGTGAGTTGTCAACACGTCTCTCTACAGAGTGTCCTCCCGTATTGTTTGAGATGTCATACTTTGAGAATGGGGTTCAGATCGGAGGTCATCCCTGGCACTACATCTACACCCCCAACCACAAGAGGCACAGAGGAACCCATCACATCTGCTCTATCACAGACGGAGCACTGGTGAATACTCTCGTTCCTACAGATATTCTCAGGAAAATCAGTCCTGAAAAAAAAAAACAAAAAAGCCAAGCTGCGATATATTTAGACATGCACTGAGGTTAAAGTGTGTATGTTACCTACATGTTGCATTTTAGTTAAAATTATTATCATATTATTATCTCTTAGGCCGGGCAAGACAAACAGTATTAGGTTTATCTTACACAGCAAACTTATGAATGTTTTGAGTCTTTGGTACTAAAATAACCATTGGTTTTATGAACAAACATTTATTCGTTGATGGAACTGAATGTAGCGTCTGGACCAATCAACAACACAATTTTTCATTTGATTTAACAAATCAGTTATTCATTAGATTTGATGTTTCCTTCAGGCTGTAGATCTGCTGAATATCCAATGGCCCCATAGCTTCATGCTTTATTTATCTTCTCTTTACGGCCTAAGCTTTAATCCTGTTCCTATGCCAACTGTATGCGTGTGTGTGTGTGTATGTGTGTGTATGTGTATGTTAGACCAGTTTAAGTGTTTATGTAGTATGTTGGACTAGTTTAAGTGTTTATGTAGTATGTTAGACTAGTTTAAGTGTTTATGTAGTTAATAAAGCCTTACTTGTATCACACTTGACGTTGTTCATTGTTTGCTCATAACTGGAGTCACTTAATCATGCAGATTTATGCTACAAGCTCTTTGTAGAGTTGTACAGTAAGAAAGTTATTTCCCTTAACCAGGAAATTAACGTTCTTAGAATTGACAAGACAGTTGACACTGAGAGGTCAAGTAAATATCTACAGCGGATCTAAATATTGATAATTAATTATACCTAGTTATGATTAATTATTCATATTTCCCCATGAGCTGATTCGCTACATGAACTTGAAACACTTTTCTGTTTAGTTGTTTTATTTACTTGTAACTTTACTAATAAAGACTAGTTTGTGACCAATACTCTCTTGTTATCATTGTGAAACTAGTGGTGTTGCATAAGTTTACTGTGGTTAGTTACAAAATAGTGCTGGAATAAAAAAAAAAAGGAAAATAAAGAAGTCTCCCTCCCAAAACCTAGTAAGCTGCCTACCATCAGCATTATAAGTCTAAACTTAAACACAATGTGCCCACAAAATAGTAGGTGTTACTGGACATTATAAGCATCACATGTAGCATTTTGGGCATGGATAAGGTCCAAACCTAGTTTGCTTCCTACCTAGACTGCATTTTGGGTATGACAGGCATCATCCGAAGCTGCATTTTGACTCCCAGCAATGCTGCCCCGATAGGCAGCTTACTAGGGTTTAAGACAGCACCTCTTGTTTGGGCGAGAAAGTGCAAAAGGGACCCAACCCCCCGTCCGACGTGTCTTGTGTCGTTGCCCTGCTGTAGTCGCATGAGTTTACTGCAGACTGCGACGATGGAGAACTACAAGCAGTTTCTCGTTGTCTTCACTCTGGCTCTGGCGCTCGGGTTTGTGGCGATCGCGTTCGCTTTAACGTGGGTTTTACACTTCAGAGAGGGGCTCGCCTGGGACGGAGGAGCGGCTGAGTTTAACTGGCACCCGTTGTTGATGGTGATCGGCTTTATTTTTCTTCAGGGAGTCGGTAAGGAGTTTGAATATTTACACTCCAATCAGCAACCAGAGGTTTCGCATTCCTGAATCTTTGATCACACAGTACTACCAACAAAACTACAGTTACTCATAAAGCAGCCTAACCATTTTAGTTATGTAAATGTGAAGTTATGCTGCTTTTTCCCCAGAGAATTTGGTGTGATAGGGAAGGTCGTAATTCAACTTTTAGATTTCGACAAATGGAAATTGCGTTATGTTTGCTCGGCTTCTCGTAATATTATGTTGTGAAAAAATGAAGCGAAATTCATTCGACTTTTCGGACAAAATTTGAGAGAAAGATGGTGGCTGTGCATCGAACTTTTACATTTCCTCTTTTAACTCATCCCAGCTAACAAAAATATGTAGAACGTTGCGCTAACGTTCTCATTAAGTTATGAAAACGTTATATCTAGACGTTCGCTGAACGTTCAGAACGCGTTTTATTTTTTTTGTTACTGCGAACGTTCGAAAAATAAAAAACATTCAGGGACGTTCCATTTTATAATTTGCAAACATTATGGAAAGGTTACTTTCTGAAACAAATGTAGTGGATCTCAACTTCAGTCCCACTGCTCTGCACGTTTTATGTCCTTATTTAACGCACCCGATTCATTTCATCAGCTCGTTAATAGACAGATCCATGAACTGAACTGAGAGTCAATAAAGTGAGATATACATAATGAACAGAGCAGTGCGAAATGAGCAGAGAACCACTGCGTTAGAGGAACGTGCAGCTGAAACAATTAAAGGGGTCATATGATGCGATTTCAATTTTTCCTTTCTCTTTGGAGTGTTACAAGCTCTTGGTGCATAAAGAAGATCTGTAAAGTTGCAAAGACTAAAGTCTCAAATCCAAAGAGATATTCTTTATAAAAGATAAGAGTCAACCACGCCTACATAACCATGTCTACCTCACTATGTGGGAAGATTTGCATAACGCCGCCCAAATGTTCACGCAAAGAAAGAAGGCGTAACTTTTATTTTCGCTGTAGTATTGTTGTTGCCGCCGCCATGTCGTGAAGGTAGACTACAATGCCGGCTGTTCTGACTCACAGACTGTAAGTTTTCATATTTAATGAATTTGCCACTGACGATTCAAACGCGCGTTTTGAGCAGTGTATAGTAGCGCTTGTTGTTTGTCGTTTTTTGGATCACAAATGCAGACATGGTTTTATGTTTACGCGGCGTGAAAAAATACAGTATAAGTCATTATAATCCGTAATTATGTCCCCACTGGATGCAACAAATGCCTCGTTTATAATGGGTTTTTTAATGTTTTTGTCTCGTCGCTCCATCACAGTATGGTAAGGAGCGTAACATTTCCGTCACACGCTTGAGGCATTCGGCCAATCACAACGCACTGGATAGCTGGCCAATCACAGCACACCTCGCTTTTCAGACCGATGAGCTTTGTAAAAATCGACGCGTTTCAGAAAGGCGGGGCATAGAGGAGAAACAATAATGTACAGTATGTGGAAAATAGTGTTTTTTGAACCTTAAACCGCATAAACATTTCATTACACCAAATACACAAAATAATGTTCTTTTTAGCAGCATCATATGACCCCTTTAAAAAAAAATGCGCTCCTTGAATGATGTATAACGTTTCGAGAACATTATTAAAGACCAAATAACCTTGAACAACGTTTTACTATTGTTACTGGATAAACGTTTGTTTATATCTTGCAAGAATGTTGGACAAAGTTCTGAGAACGTTTCCTTTTAGCTGGAATGTATTTAAAATATGTATTTATAAAAATGCCCATGATTTTGGGAATCATCGCTCTACAAATATGTTAAAATGTTTTATTTCACACTGCTGTATTGAGTCGAGATTGCATTGTTAAAAAAAAAATAAAACAGATTTTCTTCTTCAGCAATTGTAGTGTACAGGCTGCCATGGACCTGGAGGTGCAGCAAGCAGATGATGAAGCTTATCCACGCAGGGCTGAACGTTCTCGCCTTCATCTTGGCTGTCATTTCTGTGGTGGCTGTGTTTGATTTCCACAATGCAAAGAACATTCCCAATATGTACAGCCTGCACAGCTGGATTGGCCTGGCTACTGTCATACTCTACCCAGCACAGGTTTGCTTTCACAGACACACTGCTACATCTACCACTTCAACCCTCCTACACTTTTGCCACATTCAGTCCACTTACATCAAAAACAGTAGTACTTACACAATTTAATTTAGACCATTTCCACCCTCTTTCTGACTAGTAAAATGTAATAATACATGCTGTTTTTGCTACAGTGTCTTTGAGATTTCAATACAGTATTTAAATGATATCTGTCATCTACCCTAAACACTACTAGTCAAAAGATTGGAATAATTAAGAATGTATTTGATCTTTTTGAAAGAAGTCATTTATGTTCACCAAGGCTGCATTTTTTTTTCAACAATTTTTAACTTTTTTTTTTTTTTACAAAAACAGTAATATTGCGAAATATTATTACAAGTTAAGCAACAGTTTCCTATTTGAATATATTTAAAAATGTCATTTAATATCATTTTTAAATGAAACCATGGCATTCTGTGATGGCAATACTGAAATTTAGCAGCCGTTACTCTAGTCTTCAGCATCGCATGTAGAAACCATTGTAATACGCTGATTTGCTGCTCAGTTATTATCAATTACTATTAGTGGTCAGTTATCAATAATCGTTCTTCTTATCAATGTTGAAAAGTCAAGTTAAGTCAAGTGACCTTTATTTATATAGCGATTTATACAATTCATATTGTGTCAAAGCAGCTTTACAGTGTCAAACAGGAAAAACGTGTGCTGATAATGCAAGAGGACAATAGAAAAGTTTTTCAGTTCATTGATAATTCACTGATGCCTCTCTTGCAATAGTGTCTGTGCAGTCAAGTTAACAATGTTGCCAGAAATTAAGCGTCCCCAACTAAACATCCAGAGGCGACAGTGGCAAGGAACCAAAACTTCACCAGTGACAGAAATGGAGAAAAAAAAACCTTGGGAGAAACCAGGCTCAGTCAGGGGGCCAGTTCTCCTCTGGCCAGATGAAACCAGCATGGTGTGGTTTAATTCCAGGCTGGAGCACACGTCAGATTGAGCAGAGGACTCGTCTGGTTCCCGTGGTCTTGTGCCGATGGCCGACGAGGTGATGCTTCGCGTCGTGCCTAACAACGCCCCTTAGCTGTTATAAATTCACTGTAAACCACAGCTTCTTGGGACTTATTGCATTATTTTAAGGGCTGTCTCAATCTTGAAATCCTTCCAGTGCACTGAAACGTTCGCTCCCTGAAAAATCCCACAATGCTCCGCAAAAACTATGGAGCATCGGTGCTCACTATGTTCCCTTACCGGAAATTATGTCACATTTCTGAAGTGCTAAACATAAACCACACGAGCCAACTCGATAAATATAATGACACGCAATAGAAGATTTGAAAAGACGAGTTGTTTTTTTTAGTATATTTCAACATAAACACACATCGCTAGACAGGTAATGAACACATTTAGTTAACAATTATTATTCATATTCAGCTGAAATGTAAGAACATGTAAAAGAACAATGCGTTTAAAGAGAATAAAAAATAATATCAAAAAGAGATTGATCCTGCCTGCTGTTGATTAAATCCAGCGGTGACGTTCTACAGTGTTGTCCGTTGATGTTGTACGTAGTCATGTCACCGGATCAAAAAGAGATTGGTCCTCCCTGTTGTTGATTAATTCCAGCAATGATGTTCTACAATGTTGCCCATTGACGTTGTACGTAGTCATGTCACCGGAAATTGAGTAATCACTGTCCCAATGTGCAGTGAGCCAGGGAACTTACCAGTGACCAAATTCGTGTACACGATACACTGATTCACGAGCTCGGAAGCTAGGGAGCTGACCGATGGTCTCCGCTGGCATTCAGGGCTGTAGAGGTCGTCTCTTCACAGGAAAACGTCTTTTATCAGGAAAACAGTTTTTGCTACATTAAAATCTTTGAGACCATGATACATTTTTATTTTTTCAGGATTCTTGGATGAATAGAAAGTTCAATGAACAGCATTTATTTGAAAAAAAAAAAGAAAATCTTTTATCACATTAAATAAATGTCTTTACTGTCACTTTAAATCAGTTGAATATGTCCTTGTTCAATAAAAGTATTATTATAATTTTTTAAATCTTGTTTCTTGAGCAGCATATTAGAACATATAAAAATGTTTTAAAAACTGGTAATTATTCCAAACTTTTGACCAGTAGTGTGTGTGTGTGTGTGTGTGTGTGTGTGTGTGTGTGTGTTTTATTATTATATATTATTTTTTTATAAAAATTTTGTAATGTTTATGTTAGAGCCCTCTCAGGTGTGATGTGTTCTTCGCTCTTATTATTTATTAGATAGTTATGGGCATTGCCGTCTATCTGATACCTGCAACTCCAGTGTACGTGCGTGCTGCTCTTATGCCTGTACACATCTACAGCGGCCTGTTCATCTTCACCAGTGTTATAGCCACAGCTCTCATGGGCATCACAGAGAAACTCATATTTGGCCTGTAAGTACAGCTTCAGACAACACAAACCATACAAATGCATTGAGTCCTGGATCCGTACATGACATGTAATCAGTTTCTGTGCTCTTTAAAAGCCAAAGCAAATTTGTACTTGGTAAAGGTGTTTCTTAGTGTTGTTTGTAATGTCTTACAGGAAGAGCCCTGCTTATAAAGAATCTCCACCGGAAGCTGTTTTGGTAAATGTTCTTGGGCTGCTCATTGCTGCATTTGGTGGTCTTGTTCTCTGGATTGCTACTCGCCCCTCTTGGAAGAGGCCGAGAGAAGAAATCACACAAGGCGTGAGCAATAACAGCTCAAGCCCAGAGGGCATCAAAGTGGGCACTGCCATGACCTCAAGAACCGAGCAGGAATCCAGCCTCGAGACACGCAGACGCAACGGAAAAGCAGAAGAGTCTAGAAGAGTCTAAACAAAGAGTTTTGAAACAAGTTTGTGGATTTTAGTTCATTTAATCTCAAAGAAAACAGAAGTGTCATTCCAAACATTTTTTATTTTTATTTTAAAAGTTATTCAGAAAAAAATTCTAGGTATTGCTTTAAAGGGATAGTTCACCCAAAAATGAAAATTCTGTCATTCTGTCCTTACTACCTTTCCTTGAACGTGTCAGTTGTGTTGCTGTCTATGCAGGGTCAGAAAGCTCTCAGATTTCATAAAACATATCTTAATTTGTGTTCTGAAGATGAACGAAGGTTTTACGGGTTTGGAATGATATGAGGGTGCGTAATTAATGAAAGAATTTTCATTTTTGGGTGAACTAACCCTTTAATATCAATGCTGAAATTCCTACTGTCATATTTGAAGGGCATTTTAAACTGACAGCTGTGTTTGCGCTGTATTATCTCTTTGCTGTCATTAAGAACATATGCGTGTACCGTCCCTCCCTGCTGCTTTTAAAGATCTGTCTTTTTTTTTTTTAGATATTTTAAAGTATTTGCACTATTACAACATTTAACACACTAATGTATACATTAAAGCTCAGTTACATTATACTGCATTATTACAGTCATAAAGTGTTTATATCACTCCTGATTAGCCAGTTTGTTCATTTTAAACATGATATTGTAATTTAAATGTTTTCAGCTTTGTTACAATAGAAATATGCTATCGTTAGGGACATAAAAACAAGTAAAACTTACTATAACATTTTGTATATCTGTTGGAACATATCAAAACCAAGATTTGAATTGTATTTTATATTACCAAAATTATTTATCATTTGATGGATGATTTTTGTATGAAATGCTCAAAATCATTAAATATTTTAGCATATTTGTGGACCTTTTTTTTCTTCTGAAATAACAGGGTGAGGATAACTTCATACAATGAACCAATGTGTTTTGTACCTTATTTAGAATGCCAAAAGCATGGCTGGATGATTGAAGTAAATATAAAAAAAAAAAAAACATGCATACATTTTATTATCTGTTGTATGGATAATATGTCTGGTTTGTCCAGTGTCCATATTGCCCAGACTGCTATGTACATGATATAATAGTTTTTCCTTGTAGTACAGTAAGGCAATAAGCAATAAAAAGCTTATTAATCATTGACAAACAATATATGGCATTTGCAAGTTTTGTTTCCTAAAGTACAGTGACAGTGGATTGTAAAAAATAATATCACGTTACAGTGTGAGGAACCTCTGCAAACAATTTCAGACCTTCTTGCAAACCAGTCTGATCGATTATTTATTCGCGAATTTGGTATGGCTTTTTGTTAAGGAGAAAACGCGACATTGTTGAAATTTTACAGTAAAATTACTGTAAACTATCAGGGACACAGTGGTATGCTGCTCGTGCTCTGCATAAGTACAATAATACAACAAAATTAAATTAACCAATAAGGAGGGGAAAAAACGGACATCTACAACAAATTATATTTTTATTGTGTTTTGTTGTTGTCGTTTCTGTGCTTTTTCCCGCCATTTTGACCACGGTTTCTGAAGCTTGTTTAAATATCGAACTATTAAAAGTGTGGGTGACTGCCGAACTAACAAACTGACTAACGAACTAAATAAATAACATTTCTCCATTTACACTGTTACCAATGTGCAACCGAGAAATAAACATTAAACTCGTTCTGTACCTGGTCATGTCCAAGAAGCATCTGATTCATTGCAGAAGAGGGCGAGAATAGAACGTTTGAGACGGAAGCTTTATTATCACGCATTGCGTTACAACAGTCAACAGCTGTAAAAGAGCGGGAGAAACAGCATACAGGTGTAGTGTGTGATCAGGAGTAAGGTAAGTCACATATCCAGTATGATTATTAAAGTACCTTTACCTGATGGAAAACAAGCGGGTCTAGTTGTCACACTTTACGCCAGTAAATATTTACAATGGCCTTATTTTTAAGTCATTCTGATTATACTGACTACAAAAATATTCACATTTCCAATATTATTGCCCTAAAAACAAAAACAGTTGCCACACTATATGGGTTAAATTGTCATAAAGGGAACTAATTAGCAGACTAATAATTTCTTTAAAAAATTTTCATTCTAAATTATTATCTTTTTGTCTTTCTAGAAAATGGTTAGTGACAACGTTCATTGTGATACAATGAGTCAAAAAGGAGAAGAAGAAAAAGATAAAAGTGGGGAACGCTTGTGCCATCATCTCCAGTTGTGGTCTCAGCCACTACACCTGCTGAAGGGGCCAAATTGTCGTCCCCTACCTCTTCCTCCTCCTGGAAATGCAAATTTCCATCTTTGCGCCAGGTTTTCCACAGAATGCTATCTGTGATTCTACCATGTGTGTCATCGTCCTCATCTGATGGGTCTTCCTTACCCGCAGTCAGCGGATCCTCTGATCCAGAGGTCGATCTGCAGACTGCGACCCACGAGAAAGAAGCAAACAGAGGTTAGAGAATGTTTGAAGGTCATCCAGCTTTCCTAGTGTACATTAAAGTTGTAATTTGCACAACAGAACGGTATTATTATCTATTCACAGACATCACTGGAGAGCAGAGCTCCCCCTCCAGCACTGAGGATATTTCTCATCTGCAGAAAGTAGACCCTCAGATCTGGAGTCCAGCGGAGGCTACACCTCTACCAGCGCTGATGTTTCCTCCTCTGAAGAGAGTGGGAAGATTGATGTGCTGGCTGAACTTCAGGCCACAGCAGTTCGTGAAGGGTAGAGAAGTTAAAGGGGTCATATGATGCGATTTCAATTTTTCCTCATTTCAGAAAGGCGGGGCATAGAGGAGAAACAATAATGTACAGTATGTGGAAAATAATGTGTTTTTTTAACCTTAAACCTCATAAACACATTTCATTACACCAAATACACAAAATAATGTTCTTTTTAGCAGCATCATATGACCCCTTTAATTAAAACTGTTAATGTGTTAATCAATAACTATATAATGAATTAGCCTAATATGCTATGTACTGTATAATACAGTAATTAATTCAAACTAATTTTTAATCTCTTCACAGATGCAGCTGGCGATCAAACCATCTCTGATGTGGATCTTGACTGGTGGATGATGGGAATGAATGTTGCGTGTTCATGTAATTGCAGAGTACTTACTGTAATCAGAACCCCACATGGACAAACACAATATAAAGCGTTGCAGTGATGAGGTTTTTATGAAGGCCATCCTGGATGTTAGCATCACCCAGCTCCATTTGACCAAAACCTTACATATTTTGTTCAAAATGATAATCTTGTTTTCCCATTGTTTTCCCATCCTCAGTGTGCTAGCCAGTATGTTGTTCCAACAGCATTGCCAACCAACCTCAAGCACTTGGGGTAAATGTCACACAACTAGTTAAGTTTAAACACACATACATACTGACATATAAAGTGCCTTTCTCAGCCGTCCCTTGATTGAAAACTTCCTATCACAGTTTCCCCAATTTAGGAAACACGTGCTAATCTAAGAGCTAAGAGCGTGTAGCCGTTCTTCCTGATGTCACGTGCCAGCCTCAAAACACCAGCTCATCCGACCTCCTTGATTCCTCATTGTCATCTTGGGCATCGAACACCAGAACATCCGTTTGCATTCCAGTTTCTGAAGGCTTTTCAGTCAACTTAAGGCTGGGCAGGTTGACTAGCTGTACTTTCCCTGGCAGTCAGCATTGTTTGCCTTGTGGCCTCCTTCAGCGGAGAGATGCATTCATCTACATGAAATAAGAAATAAATTGTGTTTTGTGAAGTGTCATCTGAATAGCGTACACTCACATGAGAAGAAGATTGTACTTACGTTTTTTTTATAAAACATTTTTTAATTACATTGTGCGGGTCACACCTCTCAATGTATATTTCGGTATGTTAAAGTAACGTGACCCGTGGTGTTTCACTAAAGGTCAGATGCACTCGTAGCGTAGTGCAGTTTGGTGATGTGAAGAGTGAAAATTATACAATAAAAAACTCTTACTACTGTGCTTTACCAGCAGAGAAAACAAGTACCTGTGTGGCCAAAGAAGCAGAATAGTTCTGAAGCCAAAAGAAAGACTGACAAAAAACAAGTGTAAACATCAGTACAAGGAGGAAAGATTTGATGACAGACAAAATCCTGATACCCAGTTCACTTCTTTTTGTAAGAAAGTAAGACCTTCATGCTGATCCATGTCAATAGATGGCAGAATTAATGAATGCCACTTTAATGGTAGTCTAACCAACAGACGTTAAAACATGCTGATTAGCAAAGAAATGTTTGGTATAAAAGAAGCGTCATGTTAAAAATACACCAAATTATGCAGATGTGTCATCATTTGATGGTTGTGTACTCATATCTGTAGCACTGCTGCAGTTGCATAACTGGTATATGTTTGGGTCATCAACATTTTTCAGTAGTAACTCATCGACTTGTTTATTTTTTTCTCTTCTGACACTGCTCGCTTGAGCTTCACCTGACAGACCTCGAAACATTCAATCGAATTTATAGTTACTGAAAGACATGAAAAATAATCTTTGGGCAGTTCATGCACAGCGTCTTAGTACAAAATTACAAGACAAAATAAATAAACTGCATTGTAAAATATTTACAAAGAAAATCAAGACAATTCAGTCTTGGCACCTAATGCAACTTCCAAAAAAATATGCAAACACTTTTTGAAGGGGTGGCATTGCAAATGAAATGCCCAGAGATATCACACGTGGATCTGTGAAAGCATCTCCATGTCTCTCTTTAACAGTGGGCTCACAGACTGTGCAGAGGTGGAATCCCTCTAAACTTTTCACAACTAGAGATGTCTGATGCTGGCAAATTGTTCATAGCAAATGCAGAGACCGTCTCATGAGTAGCTCTCGTTCTCATTCCATGTAGTCATCCATTGCTTCTTCTCCAAGGGCTCTAACATGTCCTTTCCTTCTTTCAAGAGACGTGTCTCCTTACGAATCCTCACCGCGTGATATTTCGGAACGCTGTCCTCATATTTGGAGCGTTTGAAAAATCCACACTGACGGAGAAAGAACAGAAGCACATTAAGCATCATTGCAAAACTCGATTTGAAAATCATTCTGCGTTTATGTGCTTTGGAGAACACCGAGACGGGACATGCTTGACAAAACGGGACACGAAGAAGCACATCCATCGACACAATACAAAACAAAACCGAGCTTCACACGGAAAGAGCGAAGCACGCTGTGCAGCATGTGTCTTTCCCTTCCTTTTGTCAAAGGACAGGACGAGTTAGTGAGTTAGGCCACACGTCATGCAGACACCAATCTGCTGCAGCGATCGGGTTTTACCCTGGTAAGGAGAGCTAGGCCTCAGTGGACTGTTTGTCTGAGGGCTGAGCGTGAATCTCAGCTTTGTGAAAAGCGGCATCATACTCGTCCTTCTGGGCCCGCTTGAAGAAACCGCACTACAGAGGGGGCAAATTCAGGGGTCATTGCAAACATGTCATGATAATGTTTGTGCTAAACACAATGGAATTCCACTGACATATCTTTTCATCTGATTAATCTACTGGTCACAAAAAGTATTTGGAGAGTAAAACCTGAATACAAATGTGGGGATGTCATTGCATTAAATACTCAAATGCTGCAGGAGAATTTGGCTGCACTCCTCGTTTTTGCTCAATGTCTTTAAATCAGCTGGTGTTTTGGTGATTTTAGTGAATATATATAGAGTCAGTTCTCCTCAAGATCACACAAGTTTCCTAGCAGAGGAACCACAGGTGTAGAGAATCACATTAAAGGTGGGGTAAGTGATTTCTGGTAGCCAATGTTGACATTTGAAATCACCAAAACAAACACGCCCCTACCCCAAAAAGGGTCTTGCCCCTATTTTGATAGCTCCGCCCCACACATACGTACGCAACCCAGGCAACGGATTAGTTCTGTGAAACAAAGCAAAACCAATGTTACACCGTGTCTACACTGGACGCAAGTGGCGCGGCACGAGAACGTGTTGCGGCGCAGACACGGTGTTACTCACCTATCGAGAAGAAACAAAGCAACCTCGGCGTCCGATCGCAGGCCTTCCGCTCCTTGAGTTCTCTCCAGCGCTGGAAAGCTGATCCGATATTTACACGGATCCTACTTCTTGCCTTATTGCCTTAAACCTTCTTTTGTTCCGCAGACGTTTTCGTCTTTTGTTTTTTATCTGCCATCTCTATCTTTCTGTCGCTCGGCTCGCTAATGTCCATCCCGTGCACTGAACGCTCTCTCCTCCACATCATGAGTAGACACGCCCCTTACTGCTGATTGGCTTTTTTGCTAGTTTGTTTTGCTATTCGGCCCGAATCAGTTTACTAAAGCGTTTTTGAAAAATCGCTTACCCCACCTTTAACTATCAACACGGTCCACTAACCCTTCGTGAAAAAGAAGTGTTTAAGTTTAAGTTTTTTATACTTAAAAGTATATTTAAAAAAAACTGTACTTGCAGATAATATAATATTAAGTAAAACACCACTTAAGTGTACTTAAAGAGAGCACACTTTCGTGACTGTTTCCAACACACTTAAGTACACTTTTAAAATACATTTTAAATAATATAATATTTTGTTGTGTGTTAAAGTACACTTATTTTGACTAGCATACTAAATCCTATCCTATCCTACTTGATTATAATTTTAACTGTATTGTGTTATATATTGGATATTACATTTGAAGGTTAATATTTTTTTATGTACTAAATTTCAACTTTATCATTACAATTGTGTAATTATAAATATATTTAAGTACATGACATACAAGTACAAGTTAGAGTATATTTTAGTTTACCATAAATACTTGTTTGTACACTTGGCAGTACACTTTAACTATATTTCAAAGAAATTAGAAATATGAAATTAAATATAAAGATATACTGAAGTCCTACTTAAGTGGGTTAGAAAAGCACTATAAAGTTCAGCTAATTGCATTTGATATACATGTAAACTACAATAATAATAAAAAAATATTCCAACTGCAATTAAGCGTCCAAAAACATTACCTCCTGTTTGCACTTAAGTACATTCTTCAGTATTTTTTTTTTTACAAGGAATGCCTGTTAACTCAGAAAATGTCACAATTCTTTTATTTATTTGTGTGTGTGTGTGTGTGTGACTGTTTTGGGCTGCTTTTTTTATTTTTGTGTGTGTGTGTGTGTGTGTGTGTGTGTGTGTGTGTGTGTGTGCGCGCGTGCGCGTGTGTGTGTGTGTGTGTGTTTAAACATTTAAAAAGTGTATTTGTGGTATCTCTCTTGAAAAAATATTTGACACTTTTTTTATTTTCGTTATATGGAATGTAATGGCTTTTTTTTTTTTTTTTTAAGGTGTAGTGCATTCTCCAAATTCTTTTTAGGACTGTTAAAAGTGTAAACCAGGATAAATACAGCTAGAAAATTAACAAATACTTAAACAAATTCAATGAAAAAATGAATCGAAAAGTCCACATATAAGCTTTCAACCAGAAATATTTCTAAAGCAACCATATGAAGAATGCTATTGGGTTTTTGTTTACTTTATGTTTGTGTGTGTGAGTGTTTTATTACCTTCCAGAGTAACAGAACTAGAAGAGCCAGCATTAGTATTCCAGCTAAAACAGCCACAAGAATGATCCACCAGGGAACGCCTCCGAACGGAGTCACGGTCGTCTCCGGGAACACGGTCAGCCTCACCTGCCCATCACATCTACAGTAAGTCTAGCTGTTTTGATGACTCACACAGTATATCATTTACATGTTTAAATGTCTTAAATGTAACAGATTTAACTGTGTTACACTCGAATAGGAAACTGTGTTACCTGGGTCTCAGGATTTTTAAGGACAATGTTCTTGGCAGAAACATCCAGACTTATGGAGGCTTTCACTATTATGTCGAGGTAATTGTAGGACACATAATCCTGTTTTGGAGAGGAGCACAAAACAGAACGCTTTAACAACACAGGACATTCTTTCAAAGGAACAAAATAAGCTCTCTTTATTGTCCTTACTTCAAGGAAAGTGGAATTCCACAGACGGGATTTTAAAATGATGACCGCAGTGCTGTCCAAGCCCTGTAGGGGGCATTTGATCTCCACACATCTGGCATCACCACTGCATGACTACGAGGAAGAATAAGATTCATTTCAAGAAGTTGTTTTTTGGTGCTGGCATTGCTAAAAAGTAAAGTTTCAGTCTCAGTACCAGAATCTTGTGCTTGCGTTTGTCAGGGAAGAGGGCTGTTTTAACCCCCTCAGCTGGTTTCCGCTCCTCTAGCTCACGCTTTCTCCTGGTTGATCTTGACTCCTAAAAGTGTCACAGATGGGTGTTGTTATTTGGTTTCATCATCATCAATCTTAGTCAGATAGGTCAATGTTTTCTCAATCTAGCATACTATGTTGACCAATTTAAAACACTGAAAGCATCAAAAACAGCATTCAATCAGACTTAAACTATGAATAGTTGGTACCTCACTCAGTCTGAGAGGGTTTATCTCTCTCTCAGGTGAACAGGTGACTAACTGCAGGTCCCTGGTGTTGATCCTCATCAGATACAGCAGCCATTTCCCCACAGAGCTTTCTTTAGGCCACTGGATGTTCAGGGATGCAGTTCCAAAAGACTTCAGAGGCTTTCCCAAATTAATCACCTGCACAAAATAAAAAAGTAGAGTTAAAAAAAAAAACCTGAAGTGATATATGAAAGGTATATATGAACTATTTTAGCATTTACTCTGAATTCATATTCGACCAAGCTGCCGACTTCCTCCTCTGTCTTCATGGCGCTCATGCCTCTGACTTCACCTCCAAAATAGACCTGAGATGGCTTAGCAACCCTGATACACAACAAGAAGACATAGCCATCGACATAACACAACTAAATGTGTATAGATGCTTGTGAAAAAGAAGCGCACTTAACTGTATTGAATGTACGTACTTGCAGAGAATGTAATATTAATGAAATAAAAGGCAACTTGTGTGTATTTAAAGAGAGTACACTTTCATGAATGTTCAACACATTATGGGCACTTTTAAAAAGTTACAGTAATATCAAATTAAAAGTACATTTTAAATCACTGTTTTAATACACATTTGTTTAATTGTAATGTTAACTTTAGAGTGTTATTCAATAACTTCATTCCATGTTTTAAAGAAAACAGAAATAATGATGAAATTACAAATAAATATGTACTCAAGTCCTACCTAAGTGGGTCAAAACATTCTAAAATTCGGCTAATTGAATTTAATATAAATTTAAGCTTGAATTGCAATCGTCATGCTTCCAAAAACATTCAATTCACACTTAAGTATATTCTTTTGAAGTATATTATTTCAGCAATAAGTACTCTAAAGCATGCTAAAGTGTACTTCTTTTTCACAAGGGGAGCCATTCTGGTAATTATGTGATGGCAGAGATATAGTATGTTAGTAGTTATTAACAGTTGCTTTTAACCTGAGGTTAAAGGGTTAGTTCACCCAAAAATGAAAATTATGTCATTAATT